TGTCTCAAAAAACAAACAAGTGTCACATAAATCACCTCAAGTAATCCTCACAGTAGTGCAAACGGCAGGTACAGAGGAGGAAACTGAGGCACAGCAAGACGAAAACACAGCACTGATGAAGTTGCATCAGCCCCCTCTGTGACGGAGGTCTGCAGAGGGCCAAGACCATTGCATCTGGTGCAGGGCTCCTTCCATGGTGATACTGAGAAGGGCTTTTGATTGTGTCCCTTAGCCTGGGGGAGAAGGAAAGTGGCTGTAAAGTTGGTGGGTGGTGGTTTCTGCCAATGCGCATTGAGTGCTTTGCACATCTCAGGCAGTGCTCAGGCTGCCTGTAGATCTGGTCCTTTCGTCTTTGTCAGAACTCTCAGGCAGATGCTGTTACTGTTTATCACCACAGAGGAGGACAGAGGAGACTCAGAGAGGCTATGTAACTTGGCAAAGGTCATGTAGCAAGGCAGGACTGGTTTCTGGACCCAGGCAGCCTGGCTGCCACTGTGCCTTTAGTCCCAGAAGCTTTGAGCCTGATGTTTAGAGGGCAAGAACCCCAAGACTCAGCTCCATTAGGGTCTCCTTGTAACAGGAGAACAAACAGTATCTGAATTAGTGCCTCTAGGGCACTGCACTCCTGCCACTGCCGACAGTGTCCACGAGGCACCAGACTGAGGGCAGGACAAGGAAAGGCAACTCCAGTCCTCGGCCAGGCCGATCACGCCGGGCACTAGCTCTGCGCTCCACAGCCTGGAGATGGGTCCTGTGTGCTGTAGCTTCAGCCCTGCAGGGCGGACTCGACAGCAGGCGGCCCCTGCTTGGCCCTGTGTGGCTGGGGCAGGTTCTGGAACCTTTCTGGAGCCCCCTCCCCTCCTAGATTTGTAGTAACAGCAGAGAGAATGACAAGATAGAGGCGTCTGTTGGCAGGCAGCAGTTTCCACCACACCGCAGCATCTGACCCACGGTCGCTAAAGACCGCCCGACCCTGAGCCAGCCACCGCCCTTCCCTCACACCTGGAGCTGTCCGAGGGCAGAGCCGGACCTCGAGGGGTCCTCGAGGGGCCCCAGAAGGACCACCTCATGGTGTACTTGGTCTTGCTCAACAGGAAAGCCACAGATGGGCTGTGAATCCTGAAGTCACCGAGTTGTCCATGATCTTATTCCAGTCGTGCAACAAAGTTATCGCATCCCTGCTGCACATCAGCCTCGGGGCTGTCTGTATGGCCTAGCACCCGAGGTTGCCAGATTTAGATTGTCTCGTTTGACCATCAGAACCACCTGTGGGATCGTCCTCTCTCCCTGGAGAATGAGGCTCGGGGAGGGAGTGCTCAGGAAAAGGCCAGGCGGGACCTGCTCCTTCCCCTGCAGCCTGCGAAGCTGGGGGCAGGGAGGTGGCCACCACCTGTACTTGCACCTTGGCTCTGTCCAGGCCCTTGGTCCAGTGGACCTTTCTGCCAGCTGGGAATAGCTCAGACCTGCCTCATCCAGTATGACAGCCACAAGCCATGGGAGGGGCATGGTTAGGGTCCTCTAGAGGAACAGAATCAATAGAAAACACAAATAGAACTACGCAAGGGGATTTATTGGGTAGGCTCACAGGATCAGGTGGGAGAGTCCACTGTGGACTCTCATGTGTGCTGGACGGCCATTGGGTCTGGGAACCGCTCAGCCCTAGGAGACAGGAGCTGCAGAATGAGAGGGATCAAGGATGCAGCACCAGGCCAAGGCGAAGGCCTGGAGGGTCCCCTGTGTGAGTCTGGGATGGAAGGCCGCAGAAACTGGAGACCAAAGTCCAAAGGTGATGACAGGAAGGGAACATACCAGCTCTAGCAGACTGAGCTCTTCAAAATGGGACTACTTCCTTCGTTCCCTTTTTATTCCATCCAGGCTACAAGCCTATTGGTTGGTGCCACTCACAACGGGGGTGGGCCTTCCTCCATTTGCTGGTCTTCACGTCAGTCATCCAATTGCAAAATTGTCACTAATCTGCCAGATGTTTCTTAATCCAGTCAAGTTGACATCTCTGAGCAGTGGTCACATGTGGCGATTTGAGCACCTGAGACATGGCTAATGTGACTAAGGAACTGAATTGTAAAACTTTGTTTGATTTTAAGTAAAATTAAACGTTAAGAAGCAGGATGCAGCGTACCATATGGGATGGCACAGCTCTGGAGGCCCAGAGTGGAAGGAACTTTGGAGCAGAGTTCGATGGATGTGGGTCCCTGTTCCCATCGTGACATTGTGCCCTCGGCCATCTGCTGTCCTAATCCGGGTGTCAAAAGCAAGCCTCAAGGACAGCTCCTGACCCTTCCCGCCTCACTGCAGCCAGGTCAGGGCTGTGTTCATCTGTGTTTGCAAAAGGTTTGCACTGGTTCCAAAACTGAGACCCTGCAAAAAAGGTTCAGTTGCTGTGAAAGAAATTGCAATGCAACACACCAGAGGCAAGGTAGTGTAGCAAGCATGGGAAAGTGCCGAGAAATGCAGAGGGAAGGGGAAGAGAGTTAAGGCACCATGTGGAGGAGGGGACATTACACGGATGCCGGCTACATTTATTTAAAATTTCGTGTTCATTTGTTTGGAAGGCAAGAAAGACCTGAGCTCCCTGACTTCCACGCATGTCCCCAAGTGCGCCTCCCACTGCCAGGAGGTTAGGGACGATCCTCGTTGGCAGTGTTAGCTTTTAAAGCATGGGCAAAACCGCGTGTTCCCAAGCATGGACTGTATCGCCCCTATGGTCTTTTCCTCTTTGTACAAACTGTTTTTATCCGTATTTGCTGTGGTACCTAATGGAATACTCAACACGGGCCCGTCACCATCTCGGCTTGATCCTCTGTACTTCCCCTTCCCCTCTGTCCTCGCCCATCTCCCCCAGCCCCATTCAAAACATGCTGCAGTCACTGACCAGTCACGGGCTACCCTGAAAACACCTACAAGGTGTCACCCCTGGGCCTGCACGGCGATGGCGCGGTCCGTTCGCCTTCAGCTCCGTTTGTGGGCACCAGAGTTCTTTTCTAGTCTTCCCGCGCTGTTATTCTCTTATTCACCTACACATACTTGGTAAAAGTCAACTAGAGGATGACTCTGCTCATCCACTCCTACATACTGTGTGCGTGTAGTGTTAGGGATGGAACCCAGGGCTCCCGCCTGCCTGCCAAGTGCTCTACCCCTGAGCCCCAGGCACACTTGCTTATTAGCACGGTTGTGAAGAATGATGCTCCTGGCAGGAATTATGCATCTGTGCGTGACGATCTTCATTCTTTTTACGTCTCCTCCTCCTCTCCCTTAACATCTCTTGGTCCCCCCTCCCTTTTGCAAAAGATCTGTCTCCCTGTTTCTTTTGTCTTTTATTTTGCTCTTTATACTTTGGGTTTCTCTGTTGTGCTTGAAGAGTAAGCTGCTTCCCTTAGGAACAAACAGAAGTAATTCTTCAATTGCCAGAATCGCGGGTGGGTTTCTCTGGCGGAGAGAGGGAGAGACGCCCCGGTCCCTGGCCGGTGGTCTGGTTCTTCTCCGGCTGCCTTCGTGCACACACCGTTACTGTGGGACTGGCCCTGGCTGAGGACATGGTCATCCGGGTGCCGTCAGACTCGCCGTGACTGGGCCATCATTTTCGCGCCTCTTACCAAGCCGAGCGGGCGTTCTGCCTCAGAAGGAAGGAAATCACAGTTTCAGCAGCCTAAGAGTGGCACTGTGGGTCTTCAAAGTGGCCAGGAGCTTGAGGCTTCTGTGCTCCAGGCCAGCAAGAAAGAGCCCAAGCGGGGCTCAGCGAGGACCCTCGGTTCCACAGCAGTGGAGATGTGAACCTCATTCAAATTAATGGCATTTTCCTCCCCGTGGGTTTCAGACAACACTAAAATCTGTCGGACACCGAAATCCACATTTATCGCCTCTGGTCAGTGTGTCATGTGTATGTTAACAGCCTGTATTACTTTGGCTATTTAATTTTTGAGCCCAACACCTGGCCCTCCCCTCGTATTAATGTAAGATTTGACTTTAGCCGTCTGCTCCTTCACACGGACACACATGATCACGTCCATCTTTGTTTCTCTTTTTCATTTAAGAATCACAGAAACCACAGGGCAGAGGAGGGCTGGAAGTGATGTTTGTTTTACAAATGGGAATTCAGAGACTTCAAACAAGGAGATCTGTTCCGGGGGTCCAGAGGATGCCCAGACACAGGGACACAGAGCTGGACACAGGGACACAGAGCTGGGTGGAAAAGGCAGCCTCTAGCCCCAGGCCAAATGGTTTGTTTGAATGAAATGAGATGATTTTTCCTTCTGTTGCAAGGAGGGGATGGCTGGCTGTTTGGTAGATGCCTTGGGCTTCTGTAAGGCTACTGGGGAGCCCAGCGTGTGTCCCTGCGAGCTCGCTAGAGAGGCCTCTCCTCAGCTGTCCCCAAAGCTCCCCTCGTGTCCCTGGCAGAGACCACCTCATAGGGCTCAGCACACTTAAGGGAGAGGTGGGAGCTCATGTCCCAAGGTCATCTGCATGAATTTTGTGTTGACCTGCATTTGGAGACCGGAACAGGAGCCTCCGCCCCACCCACCCACTCTGTGTCATTTCCCTTCCCGAGGGCTTTCCAGGCAGTCCTCTTCCTCAGTCCGAGGGCTCTTGGGAGCAGAAACTTGATTTGAGGGCTGCCTCTTACTTCCCACGAGTGCCTGTTGGCACCATTTCCTTCGAGTGATCTTCCTGCCCATCTCCGGGGCTGAGAGTCATCCAGGTGTGCAAGGAAGAAAAGTAACGTAAGACCCAAAGAAAAGGTTCAGAAACTGGCTCTGCCCCTTCTGCTTCAAAGCATTGTGGTATTCTTTGTCTGCAGAAATAAGGGGGTCATTTCCAAGTCTCCTTTCATGGCTAATAAACTGTGATCCCAGGCCACAAAGAGGCAGCACCCAGGGATGGGTAGAGCAGGCGCCAAGAGGGGAGGTGTCCGTGGGTATGTTGTGAGCTAAGGCCGGAGTGCATTCCGGAGCTGTTTTCCCTGCTCACCCTGCATTTGCTCACAGGGAAGGCCGCTCAAACGCCCACGTCAGAGGAGATTACCAAAGAATCGGCGACATCATGCTCAAGAACATCCAGGGCATGAAGGTGAGTTGGGGGGTCAGCGGTCCATGGTCCTGGGGACAGCGAGGCTGGGCTGCAGGCGTCGCCGGATCTCTACTGGACACGCCACAGCCAGAGGTCACAGGGTAAAGGGTTCTTCCATCCTTTCTAGATGATGTTATTTGGGGAAAGCACTTTCAAGAAGCTTTTTGTTTTTTTCCAAAAGCTTTGCATTATACCCAAAACCACACATATCTTTTATGAATGGTTCATTCAGACTTCTTTTTTAAATGATGTTAGACAAAACATTGCTTGGTTGGCTGTGCGTTTCATTTTCAGTCAGTTGTTTTGACTTCTTAGCATGACCAAGTACTGAATGCTGAGCTTTGTAGGAATTTCAGGAAATTCTGACTTTCAGTAAGTGTGTAAGGCGAATATACTTTAAACCCAGAGTGTCTACAGGAGAATATACCCAAAGAAGTTCATCAACATTACACTAATACTCTACCACACGGGGGCGGGAGGGGTAGTACCAGGGGATCAAACTCAGGACCTTGCACTTGTGAGGCAGGCGTGGCACTACTGAGCTAAATCCCTACCTCTCTACCACATTTTTTGAAATGTACTTCATCTCTTAAATCTAAAAGTTTAACTGTTTCATTTTCAGTGTAACTGGTTGCTAATTCCTTTAATGTAGGCTGTTTTAATTCATTGACTTATCTTTGGACTGTATCTCCATTTGCATTTTAAATCGCTGCTGCTTAGTGACTAGTAACAATGGCACTGAGGAAGTAACAGCCCCCGGTAGGCTGGGGCCCACACAGCCCTGCAGCAGCCCAGCCAGGCACCATCCACCCATCGGGCCCCAACTCATGGGCCTTGGGGTCAACCCCAGGGCTTCAAACCTGCTAGGCAAGCACTTTACTGAGCTACTCCCAGCCCCTCCTGCTAGTCTCTTTCTCCTCAGAGATCAAGACAGAATTTAACCTGACCCTGATTCAGGGGCAACAGGCCACACCTTAGAGTCACATCACACAGAAGCCGTGGAAAATACTTCCCGAATCCAATACCCAATAGGGAAAGCTGAGCCACTACACTGCCAGTCTTTTCGGGGCCACAGGCTGAGTTTGTTGAATGAAACTCCTGTCACAGTCACATGAGTTACTGAGTAACTGAAAATGAGACACGCAGCCAATCTTTTCAGCTCTCCACGGGAGTTTCTGACATTAATTCTACTTCTTAGAGCAGTTTTAGGTTTACAGAAAAAGCAGCAGAGAGTTCCCATATCCCCACCCAGCCACAGACTGCAGTTAGAAATATTTAGTGCTTGTGCGGTACCTTTGTAGAAATTGCGCTCACTGACCAAAGGCCACATTAAGTCTCAGGTCACGCGTTATATGTTTGTTGAGAGAATAGTTTCACTGCCCTCAAACTCCCCAGCACGTGGCCTGTTCTCGCCGCCACACATGCTCCTCACTCGCCGTCTCCACAGATTTACCCTTCCTCAGGGTGTGCGGTGGTGGGGATCCCACAAGATGGCGGCCTCCGCAGCCTGGCTTCTTCCACGTCTCTCCTGAGCCATGATTCGAAGCTGTCCCACTTCCACATGACTTTCCTCCCAAGACACCGTGTTCTGTTCCCAGCTGGTCTGGCGCCTCGCTTTTCCCCTCAGCCTCCTTTTGTCTAAGATGGCACCTGCCCGGGGGAGGGTCCCGCTGTACAGGAGGCTGGGACCCCGTCTTAGGCCATGGGGACAGCGGCCCGGGCCTGCCAGGCTCTCCCCCCATGCCGCAGAGACGGTCCCTGGCATCCTGCTCTGCACCAGCCCTCCTAGGCCTCTTTGCCAGTTACCCACCACTGCTTTCCTACCGAGAACTGACTCCTGCCTTCCTTCCCTGCGGCCCTGTGAGCTGGGCGTGTGCCCGTCAGCTCTCAGCTGTGCTGGCATTTCAGCATTGTGCTACTGCTACTGCTGCTGCGAACTCCATGCAAGCAAAATAAAAATAGACTGTGGGTGGGGGGAGTGGCAGCCTTTTGAGAAATGGGTTGGCTTGGGCTTTTTTTATGGTGTTAATTATTGTTGGTTTAAAGCATTTTATAAAGAGTGGAGGGGAGTGGCAGAAGTTTCTAGAGAGGTAGACGCCCAGCTTTGCATTTTGTTTAAATGTTCAGAGGGACGTCCGCCTCCCCATGTCTTTCCTGCCTGCCCCAGGTACTTGCCCTGCGTTTGCAGGCTGCACAAGGTCTGCTGTCACTGCTTTTTGGCCAGTGTCCTCAACTCTGCACATGGGGAGCTTATTTAGATCCCAGCCGCCGGGCATGGCTGTGCTTGTGCACTGTCACACCTGTGATCCCCACGGTGTCCCCCCAACCCCGTGACATGGCCAAGGGGCCCGGCCTGGCCTGGGTCTTATGGAAGGTCAGACATACCCAAGTCAGGGTCTGCAGCCCACATCATGAATGTCCCCCTGCAAACATCAGCCTAGGTGCACTGGGGTGGGTGGAACTCAACACAAAGGAAGGGCCCCAGGGTCCCCGCCGTCACTGGCACCAGGCTGCTGCTTCCCCGGCCATCTCCCAGCTCCCACCCTTGCCCCTGCACCCCCGAGCACCTTCCTGACGGGTCCCCTGGCCTCCAAATCCTCCTCATTCCTCAGTGGTTGGAGAGTACGGTGCAGCCTGTAACCCTGAGGAGGACAGACTCCACTCTGGTCCCAGGCGATCTTTCCAGACTTCTCACCTGCCACGTTCTCTGCATTCCTGCCCCAACTCCTCTGTGCTTTAGTTCACGCAGGCAAGAATTACTGGTGACTGATACCCTCATTTAAAATCAAATAGAGGGCTGGGTTTGGTGGCACCTGCTTGTAATCCTGGCTACAGGGTTGCCTGAGTAACTTAGGGAGCACTTGCCCAGTGTGTGAACCCCCAGATTCCATTCCGAGCACAGTGACAGCAGCAACACTGTAGTTCTGCATCAGGGAAGAGGGGGCAGGGTTCCCAGTGCCTCCCTGTGCGTTTCCCTGCAACTTCTAGTCAATCTTTGTTTCAAAACAGGAAGTTTGTAAGTAAGTCAGCAGGAGAGTCTGGGTGATGGGCACTGGCATGGGCAGGTCCAGCATGAAGGGCAGGAGAGCAGTGGCCTGGGCATCAAGGAGAGGCTGGAATAAGCCCTGAGGGACAAGTGGGGTCCTCTGTCCCCCATCCCTTGGTCTGGAAGTGTCCTCTCTTGAGTCCTCCCCACCTGCCCGGGGGGGTGAGCACACTTCTGTACTCCACCACCAAAGGTTGTGGCCTGAATCTGCCACCGCCTCAGTGCCAGGGGAGTCAGGACCCTGTGGAGCCCTCACTCTCCTCCCCATGCAGCAGCGTCCAGCGTCTGGGCAGCCCTGGCTGTCTATGAGTGAATGGGGTGAGCACAAGTGCACTTTTGGGAACTATTTGACGTTCATTTAAGGCTCTGGCCTATGCATCATATTTAGCAGAAACCCCAGGTCCCCCCTTAAGCTCTGCCCCTCTGTTTTGTCAGTCTCATTGCAAAAGGGACATTTATGCTTCTAATATTATTTGTATGGCACACATATTTTATAACGTACATGTACTTTACACTGCTCCGTATCTTAATGGAGCTTTTCAGTTGATGCCCAGAACTTAACTGAAGTGATGACAGAAGTGGTAAAATACAAAAAATAGGACACTTAAGGGAATTAAATAGATGTAAGGAAAGGAGGGTGAGTCTGGGGGCGGACTAATCGGCCCCCACCCTGCCCCCACAGCACCTGGCCCCTCACCTGTGGAAGCACAGCGAGGCCCTGGAGGCGCTGGAGGACACCATCAAGGGCTCGCGGCGGCTGGAGCACTTCTGCAGAGACTTCGAGCAGCAGAAGGTGTGCTACCTGCCACTCAACACCTTCCTTCTGCGCCCGCTGCACCGCCTCATGCACTACAAGCAGGTGCTGGAGCGGCTGTGCAAGCACCACCCGCCAAGCCACGCCGACTTCAGGGACTGCCGAGGTGAGCGCCCCCTGCAGGCCGGGACAGTCTGCGGCTGCCGCGCCCACAGTTCTGTAATCTGATGTTTCCTGGCGCTTGATCTCCCCAAAGAGAGACGATGACGGCCGCAACCACCCTTCTTCCTTGGCACACACGCCTCTTTTGAGCCGGGGTGGTTGAGCGGCAGAGGGAATAGCAGTGCCATGGGAACAGTGCAGTTAGCCCATTTTCAAATAAGGAATCTGAGGCTCAGAGCAGGAGGGGACCAGCAAATGCCACTGAGACGCGCCCTTCCCACTGAAACCAAGTGGTCCCGGGCCCATATCACGCGTGGTCTGTTGGAATTTGGGCACCTGCCTTTCCCCCAGGCCCCTCAAGGGCTGGGGCTGCTCTGAGTCCCCTCCAGCCTCCACCAGAATGGGGGCCCTTCACGCACAGATCTGCCGGTCCTCCCGTGTGTCAAGGCCCCATCTCTGGCCTGAGTGTTAGAAACACTTCCCATGTCTTAGGTCACCTTGGCGCCTTCCGCATACATTTCCTGTACCTGAAACCCTGGTGACCCTGCCCGCCCTGGGCTAATCTCTCTCGGCTCCCTGCTCTAACAAGCCCCTCAGGACCTTACCTAAGAGCAAAGAAAAGGGAAGGGGTTGAAGGAGGCCGTGATGACATCAGCCTTGTTCCAGAAAAATCACTCTCAGTCCGTAGGACACACAGATGACTCCTACACGTAGTTGTGTAATGACCCAGTAGACTTGCCAAAGTCAATTCAGACAGTGGCAATTCAAGAAGGGGAACAGAAACGCCTCCTGACTGTGTTTAAAACAAGCCCTGCTGCCTCCCGCCTCCACAGCTGTTTTATTCCTGATGCCTGGGGTCATTGCCGTCTCACTGGCTGTCCGCAAACTCCTCCTCATCCATTAAAGCCTCGGCCTGTGCTTGACCCTTGAATTTTCTCCAGCCTCCCGCCTCATCCTATGGTACTGGCCAGGGATGGAATGCCCACAACCCCTTCCTGGCCAGGAGGACCCCAGCGATGATCACCCTGGGGTGGGGTTCAGGTTTGCAGGTGCCCCCCAGCCATCCACAGTTCACTCAGCCACTTTGCATCCTATTTTTCTATTGTCCCCAGTGGGAATCGTCCTCAACAATTAAGTGGACAAAAGCATTCTGTGATAAGCCAGGAAGCACTTAATTTTCACCCCAGGCAGAAAGCAAGAGAGCTAGAAACAGCTTCCCTTCCAAAACTGGGGTGTGGGAAAGGAGGGACACGGTGTTCTGAAGACTGAAGGCCGGGGCCAGCATGTGCTGTTTTCTCTTGCTCAGATCCTGGGGATTTGTGGGCCACCCTCATTTGTAGTAACTGGCATTCACTGGCTTCTTTTGTGAGCTGCACACCTACCAGTGTAGGGCAGATGTTGCCTGTATTGAAAAGCAAAGTGGGACTGTGCAGTTCTGTCTTGGTGAACAGCGTGATTGCTGTTTACAGAAGGAAAAGCAGGGGTACGCTGGAATGCTAGTGACCCCCGAGTGGTGCAGTATCAGACCCGCAGATCCATGTAGACTCCGCTGCAGACCTTTCTGTGGGCTCTTTGCACTCACTGTGCCAAGGAAAAGGACAGACAGGAAAATGCCTGGATGCCAACAAGTCACTGATTTGGGGACGGCTGTACAAGATGTGGCCACACGGGGCTCATGCCCACAGCATGCTCTGCAGAGACCACAGTGAATCTGATCGGTACATCAGGCAAATCAATGTTGATTATGGAACAAGAGTCTTCCCAGAGGAAGGCTTCGGGAGAGCGGGCTGAAAGCGGTGGGGACAAGTCCTGTACTCCTGTTTCCCCACAGCGGCGTTGGCGGAGATCACAGAGATGGTGGCGCAGCTGCATAGCACCATGATCAAGATGGAGAACTGCCAGAAGCTGCACGAGCTCAAGAAGGATCTCATTGGCATCGACAATCTCGTGACTCCAGGAAGGGTAAGTACGGGTTGGACGGAAAGCCAGAGCGCACTCGATTCAGGAGTGAAAGCGCACTGTTTTGCCTATGGACTCCCAGGAGAAAATAACCTCTCCTGCCACCCGGGAGGCTCCTGGGTAAACAGGACAAGGCCGTGCAAAATCTGCATATTGAGAGGAGGGAGGGCAGTTCTCAGACCTCTTCCTCCGTTCCTGCTCCCTGGAGATGGGGTTCGTGGGCGCTCCGCAAACCGCCCGTATCCGCCCCGCAGGAGTTCATCCGCCTGGGCAGCCTCAGCAAGCTCTCAGGGAAGGGGCTCCAGCAGCGCATGTTTTTCCTGGTGAGTGGCCGCAGCCGTCTGGGGGCGGGGTCCGGGGTCCGGGAACACACTGGGCTCACCCATCGCTCCTCTGCGTGTCCCCCAGTTCAACGACGTCCTGCTGTACACCAGCCGCGGGCTCACGGCCTCCAACCGCTTCAAGGTGCACGGGCAGCTCCCGCTCTACGGCATGGCGGTGAGTGTGGGGAGACGGCTGCCCTGGGGCATCCCGGCTGGGCCTTGGGGCCACGGTGCCCTGATCGGTAGGTCCCTTGGGTCAGGTGGTGTGGGCCATGGGCTGACCCTGCCTCTCCCGCTGCACCGGGCAACGCGATGTCCACCTGGCTTACGCCACCCCTGGAGTCCAGGGTGAGGTCTGCGGGCTCTGCCCAGAGAACTCTGTGCGCTTGGCCTGCCTTCCTCTCGGCCTTTCCGGCTCCCTGCCGTGTCCCAGTAACCGCTGCCCTCTTGTCTTGTCCCTAGATCGAGGAGAGCGAGGCCGAGTGGGGGGTGCCCCACTGCCTGACCTTGCGGGGCCAGCGCCAGTCCATCGTGGTGGCTGCCAGGTAACTCCGGGACGGACTCTTTCCCGTCAGCTGGGACCCGCTGTGGGCTGAAACGCTGACTCGCGCCTCTGTCTCCAGCTCTCGGGCCGAGATGGAGAAGTGGGTGGAGGACATCCAGATGGCCATCGACCTGGCAGAGAAGAGCAGCGGCCCCAATGCCGAGGTCCTCGCCAGCAGCCCCCCTGACAACAGTGAGTGGCCACACCCATAGCCAGAGGGGTCACCTGAGGGGTGGCACCCTATTGTGTTTAAAACTCCTTCAAAGGGAAGGCCCCTTATCCACGGTCTGTATTTGTGTTTAAGGCTACAAAGCAGCCGAACCCTGGGCTCCATTCCTAGTCAGGGAAGGGAGGCTGAGGCAGGAGGATCGCAGTAAGTAAAAAAGGTTTCTCCTCCTGCCACAGAGAGATCATTTGCGTCTCCTCTTGTCACTTTCCAGAGTCTCCAGATGAAGCCACAGCAGTGGACCAGGAGTCGGAGGACGACCTGAGCGCTTCGCGCACCTCCCTGGAGCGCCAGGCCCCTCACCGCGGCAACACGATGGTGCACGTGTGCTGGCACCGCAGCACCAGCGTCTCTATGGTGGACTTCAGCGTCGCCGTGGAGGTACCTGCGGGCGAGGGGGTGGCAGCCGCGACGTCCCACCTCCAGGGGGCACTCGCCCGGGTTCGAGCCCGCCAGTGGGTGGGCGTCCTCTCAGTCAGGGCAGATGGGCACTTGCTGTCCATTCGTCCCTGCCGCCACCACCGCCTAGGTGACCGTTTTCCTTGGTCCCGAACCGCTGTCCTTGCTGTCGCGGAGTCAGGCCTGGAGGGTAGCCTGGTGCAGAGCCACTGGACAGCGCCCTGGGCCGTGGGTGGGTCGGAAAGCCAGCGAGGCAGAACCACTCAGCAGATCCCGAAGGCGGGACACAGGACAGCCTCTCGCGTGGGCTCTGGGACTCGTCCCGAGGTGAATGATGGGCCCACACCTGCCCAGCCTTATGCAGCTCCGTCCGCAGCTGCCGGGCAGCGCTGACACCAGGGAGGCCTTGCATCCCGCTGTCCCCCGTTCCCGGTGGCCGGGCCTTCTCTGAGGGACTGACCGGGGACGGCTGGTGCCCCCACTGCTGCAGGTCTGGGGTCTCAGGCTGTCCTCCGGAGCGACCTGAGGCCCTGTTCTTCCCTTCTTGGCCACCCCCTGGGCACCAGGATGCCAGGGCCACCCACACCGGTGCGCACATCTCATCCCCACCTCTGCTTCCCTCACCACCTGCTGGGCAGCGCGGGGATCCGCCTCTAGAGGAGACAGGCAACTGCTGGCTGGCTCATCCCCAGCCTGCAGATGGAAGAGCTCGGTGCAGGAGAAAGCCCGCCTTGGCCTTGCTTCTGCCGGGCTGTGACGATTCACTCTTAAGGCAGGGGACTGCTGGCGGGGCGGGGAACAGTGTGTCCAGCGTCTGGCCCGGCCATGTGAGTACACAGCAGTCAGGGCCACACCTCTTCTGGTCCACGCTTTGGGTAGCAGCCGGCAACTGCGGTCCCTCAGTCTTCTCCGCCGGAGCAGCGGACTGGCCCTGGGCCCTGAGCCGGGAATGGTCACCCCAGGATGGCCTGAGGGCACTCGGATGCTGCAGATGAGTGAGAGGAAGGGTGTGGGTTACGCACCCGTCACCATCCCTGTCTTGCCAGAGCGCCCCTTCCCAGGCGTCTGCGGTGCCCTGGTTCACACTGGAGTGGCACTCGCTGGGCAGCTGCCGCGCCTCCAGCCCCAGCCCGACAGGCGTGGGGCAGCTCCGTTTGCTCTGGACCCGAGGGCCTCTCTCCACCCTAGGCCTGCTTACTGTCCCCATCCGTCTCCCGAATGACTGGAAGGCGCACATGAGGGAGGGAGTGTTCGGAGCAGCACAGGGGCCACGGTTCACACAGGCTGGAGTGGGGACTCCAGGCCGCTGGGGAGCGAGGACAGACTGGCGCTCCGTGCCACCGGGAACCTCAGCTGGCTGCAGGAGAGACTTCAGACGGCTTTGACTGGGGGCTCCCTGCCTCCCGTGCGCAGTGGCAAGGCCACCCTGGCAGCGGCTCTGGCTCTGGGTGACACAGACCACCGCCATCTCGTCTCTCACTGCCGGCGGTAGGCAGGTGGCAGCCAGCCAGAGTGGAGGTGGGAGCGGCTGGCAGGGCTGGGCACCCTCTCCCACTGGCAGCAGGGTCCCTCTCGGTTCTGCCAAGTCAAACTGAGGGTCAGGGTGGTCTAGACCCACATCCTCCCGTTCACAGTGCTCTTCTGCCTCCCTGCCTCATCAGACTGGAGGGCAGAAACATCTGAGTTTTCAACTCAACTCCTAGCCAGGGGCCTTTGCGCATACGAGTAACAGGTGGAGTGGAATTGAACATGTATTTTTAGTTGTGGTTTTAAAAAAAAAAGGAAAGGGCCGGAGATTTAGCTCAGTGGTTCTGGTGCCTGCTTTGCAAACGCAAGGACCCGAGTTCGATCCCCAGTACCAAAAAAAAAAAAAGAGATTAAAAAATATGCCAAATATGCCATACAGCCATTACCACCACCTCCCTCCGACCCCCAGTAATGTCACTTGACAAAAGGACTGAATGAGTGACAACTTGTAATTAGTGGATGGGCCGCCTCTGTCCTCTTAAAGCTGCCGGGGCGTCTTCCCCATGCTGACCTTCCCATCAGAGCTGCCGGTGCACACATGTCGCAGCTGCTGCCCCGCCCCCGGGTCTGGCCTGATCCAGACATTTCCACATGGAAATGTGGGATTCGATGGAGTGTCCAGGATAGGCAGGCAGGAGACCTCACTGGCCCCCACTTCATGGCCGGTGTTTTGTGTTGGGGCTTCCAGCCCTGGCCACTAGGTGGCAGTCAGGAGCTGCTTAGGAAGGATGTCCAGGGCATTGGATATTTCCTAGGGAAAAGGACCACAAATTGGGTGGTTGAGAAGAAATTTATTCTGGAGGCCAAAATCCTAAATCAATGTGTTGGTTGCCCAGGCTCCCCATGAAACCTGTGTGGACCCTACCTTGTCTCTATCCTTGCTGTGCTGCGGACGTCATTGCAGCTTCTGCCCAGAATATAACGTGTTGTCCTCCCTGGATATCTGTTCTGTGGAAATCACTCACATTGGATGAAGGGCCTGCCTTACCCCCGTGTGACCTCATTTTAACCGATTATACCTGAAACCACCCTACTTCCAAATGATGTCGCATTCTGAACCCTCTTGGGGGTGAGAGGACACAATTTCTACCCGTAACAGGTGACAAAGAATGAGTCAAATCAAGTTCGTATGGTCCATTAGGTTCATGTGCCAGGGAGCAGTGGGGCTCTTGTTCTTAAGTTACAAGGTGCCTCAGCCACAGGAAGCTTGCTCTGAGACCCAGGGCACTTCCTGCGCCCACCCCACAGCCAGGCCTGAGGCTGCCCACCCGGACCTACCTCCTCCCATTGCTGCGGGAGCCGGGTCTGTGCTCCTGACCGGCCCACTTGTCTTTCAGAACCAGCTGTCTGGGAACCTGCTGAGGAAATTCAAAAACAGCAATGGGTGGCAGAAGCTGTGGGTGGTGTTCACAAACTTCTGCCTGTTCTTCTACAAGTCGCACCAGGTGAGTGGCTGGCCCCTGCCACGTGGCCCTTGGGACGGGGCCTGAGGTAACTGCATGCCTGGGGCAGAGTGGTGAAGCCCAGCGTCCCCACGCAGCACCTGCACCCTGTGGCAGGCAGCAGCCCGAAGGCCCAAAGGACTTTGCCTGTGAGCCGGAACTGCTTAGCCTGCCAGGTGTGGGGAAGCAGGTGTTACGGGGCCCTGTTCCAGCCCAGCCACCTCCCAGAGGCCCTCCGCTCAGTGAGGCTTGACCCTATCCATTTCCTGAAAAGTGGCCTTGAAAGGCCACCTGGCTACCGCTTGGCCAGGAAGGGGGTGACCCAGACTCACATCCCAGCCTGCACTCACTGGCCAGGACCAGCTGCCCTCGGTCCACTTCCTCCCAGACCCCGAGCTCTCGGGCGGAGATACCGGGTGCAGCGGGCAGGCAGGGCCCATGCTGCCTCTCTGGGATCATTCCTGTCCCCATGCAGGACAATCATCCCCTCGCCAGCCTGCCTCTGCTTGGATACTCGCTCACCATCCCTGCGGAGTCTGAGAACATCCACAAGGACTACGTGTTCAAGCTGCATTTCAAGTCCCACGTGTACTACTTCAGGGCCGAAAGCGAGTACACGTTTGAAAGGTAGATGGCACTTAAGGCCATGTGAAGGAGGGGTAGCTCAGCTCTCAGGGTTTCCTTGTGTTTTTAGGGCTTCATTATTGCACCTAACTGCATGGTATGAGACTTAAGCACAGGGGGCTTAATTTAGCTGAGAGTGAAATAGAGGCAGGCTACTGAGTCTGAGCTAGTAAAATTCACATTTCAAGCAGGAATTCCAAGCCTCTTGGAATTGCATCCAGAGCAAACCTGAGAGCTGCTGTCCCCAGGGGTCAGGGTCCTCAGGCTACGGAGCAGACAGAACAGTAATCTGTTCCTCCCTGAGGGTCTCCCCATCATTAGCTCATTAGGAACTGCACACAATCCCTCATAAATCCCACGGAAAGAGACCATGGTGTATATAAAACTCCTGTGACACCCACGAAACACCAGTTTCTGGGCAGCACTGCTTGCAAAGTGAGCCCACGGGAATGGTGTTTCCCAGACCTGATCCTGGACGGGAACCGGCAGGCTGAGCAGCTTTGCTGGAGAGCTGGCTTGGCCCACACTGGGTCCGGTTGTCATGGAGATGCTAGGAGCCCAGGGAAGAAGGCGGGCAGTATGGCAAATACCAGCTCTCCCGGCCTCTGTACTACTGACCTCTTAAACTGGCCAACTCGGGGCTGGGTAAGCGGTCCTGGGTGTTGTACGACCTGAACCAGCATCCCTGGCTGCCACCCACAAGAAGCCAAGGGTACCAGCCTCCACTGAGACCACCAGATGTATCTTCACACTCTGCCAAAAAATGTGCCCTGGTCCCAGGGTGAGAACCACTGGCTTACTGTGAAACAGAACCTCCACCATGCATGCAGCAGTGCTCTGTGCAGGGCCCCCAGAAAGGATCCGTAGGCAGGCATCTCCCCCACAGACAAAAGCCACCCACCTCAACTGTGGGAGGTTGACTGACTTCTGGAACACCCTGGCCGTGCCCAGGACAGCAGTTCTCAAATCGTTCCTCTGTAACCCTCTGCTTGAGCCTTCATTCATTTACAACTCTTCCAAAGTGGCCGAGTACTAAGGTAGCCCTCCCTCGTGCCACGGGTAGAAGGCGTGACTGCCACATTGGGGAACACAGGAAGGGCTTTGTAGAGTGGCCGAGGTAGTCCCGTGCTTTCTCGTTTCAGGTGGATGGAAGTCATCCGGAGTGCCACCACCTCAGCCTCTCGGGCCCACGTCCTGAGTCACAAAGAATCGCACATGTACTGACGGCTGGACCCCTCGCCAGCTGCCCGGCTGTGGCTGCTTTACTGGAAGACATCTCCCTCATGTATGACAACTCACTCCTGTCAGGAAAGAACGCGGTTTTACAGCAACTCTCCCGTCTCTCACTGCGGGGGGCGCCTGCCCTGACCTGTCTTCTCCCGCCGTCTGTCATTGGAACCAGCCTGGGGTTCGACCGTCATCCCTGGGGCTGTTCTTCAGTTTGTGCCAGTATTGAGACATTGTCCGAGTGCCAAACGACACCCTTTCCCTCTGTCCGCACACGTCTGTTCAACCGAGGACAGGGCAAATGCTCCTCTTTTTCTTAGGACTTAACTGTTTTCATCCACGGGCTGCTGTTTTTAAAAAGTGGATTTTCCAGTGATCTCGACACACATGGCGCAGTCTCCAGCAAGCGATCATTTTCAGATTTCGGTTTTTTCAATCTTTCTACTTTTATAATAATAGGAAGTTGTAGGACTCACTTTCCTTGACTAATAAGGGACCTGCAACGCACTCAGTTTGGCTGAGGGGTTTCTTGCTCCAGCGACACCCTAGTCACCAGACTGGCCTCTTGGTGAAGTCGACCAGCTTGTTGAAGTGATTACTATTTACTGACTAGTGGGGTGTCTTCTGTTCAGAAGCAGAAACCCAGTGCAATTCTGGGCTGTCGCGCTGTACTGTGAGTGGTGTGTACGTGGGGAGATTGTACGCTGTGGTGTTTGCTGTTTCACACGCATGAGAACCTGTATGTCACTGACCAGAGCCGTTCGTGCTGTTTCGTTGAGGGGGTTGTGTGAGCTTCGTGGATGCAGTCATGGTACGTAGTCCTGGCCCCCAGTAGATCCACCTCCTCCTGCCGCCGCGGTTTTAAACTGTTCAGTCTCTAGTAGTGTCTGTTGTGCCTGTTTTCAGAGCAAAACAGTCTTTCCTCTTTTTATACTCGCCCCCAGGCATGGGGAATCAGCGGGCTGCCAATGGAACAGACTTCACCGAGAACCCTACTGGGCCCACAAATGGAAAAACTTTTGCCTGTCCTCTAGGACGACCAGGTGGCTGTCGTTCCCTTAGTGTTCTCGAGCCTTTTTTAACTCGAGTCGGCCAACTCAGCACAGCCCTCTCTCAGCACCCTACACCCCCAACGGGGGAAGCCAACTTAACACGAGACACAGGGACACTGGTGTCGTGGAGCTGCGGCTGTCGTCCACAATTTACCACGAGATGAGGAGCTTGAGATGTGTTAATCATTTGCCTTACAATATGTACCAGATGGTTTTCAGTACTAACAAAAGGGAATAAAAATACCTCACGCCACAATCCAGCATATTGAAGTTTTAAGGCAAAACTAAAGCAGTCTTGTCTTTTGTCCTTATTTCCATGGTGTGTGTGTGTGGTGGGAGTGGCGATGTGGAAGTGGGTGTGACAGGGAAGGAGAGACACTCGATGACGACATCCTCTGAGAAAGCATGGTGCCAGGGAGACAACGCTCTAGCTGGCTGCTGAGCAGAGGCCTGGCTAGTCCTAGGCATGAAAGTGAGGAGACCTAGCAGAGGGAGGCATTTGGAGACCAGAGTCCCGTCAGAAGTCTCCCATTTGGGCAAATGCCGGGGACCCCAAGGTGGCCGAGCATACCAGGAAAATGCTCCCCTCTAAGAGTCCGGAAGGCTTGGGGACAAGGAGGTCTCAACTTTAGCATTTCAGAATGCTCTGCACCTGTGAGCAGCACAGGAAAACTAAGGGAAAACAATGTGGGCAAGCTGCTAGGAAGAGAGGACGTCAGAGACATCCTGTACACACGACACAGTTACAGGAAGAACCATCTTCTGAGCACTTTATTGACCCTTGTGTGACAGATTACAAGTGCTCCAGAGCAAGCCCTTCAATGCTGTCTTTGTCACCGTATCTAGTAGCAGAAATACAGAAGCCATGTTGGGTTTAATGAAGAAGGAAATATAAAAATGCTTATAAACCCATCCATCACGTATTTTGCCAAGGGAAAGGTACAAAATACTTCATAGAACCAACTACACACTTGACGAGCATCTAGAGAACAAGAAGACTAATGGTTTTAGAAGGCAGGTGGCACTGAGTTCCAATGAGACTGAGCCTGGCCACTAGGGGCCAAGGCATCTATCTTAAGCCACCACACTGGGTCCAGCCAGCTGGGACACCGGAAGGCAGCTTCAAAGGCATAATCCACAGCCACAACACACAGTCACTAGAGCAGTCACACTGTGCTTGCTGCAGTGTGTGACTGCTTTCCCACCTAGCTGCGTAAGCATGGGCCATCCCAGCTCAGGGCTGGCACTCAGTGGCTTTCGAGTGACAGCAAATCCTCCTCAGATACAGGACTACAGGTCACCCTGAAGACCACAGCAATTTGCACTGTCCATGCAGGTTCAGCTGTCGCTCCAGTCCCCACCCACCCCAACCCAGATACCAACTTGCTTGGCTAAACAAGATGCCCTTAGAAACATGAGCTGATCGTGTCTCCACAGGAAGTAACGACCTACAAGAGACGGAATAGTGAGGCAATCCACTCAAATTCCAGGGTAAAACCCCCACCCCGGAAACGCAAAAGAATCATTCGATGCTTTTTCTGGGGGATGGAGCTATGCATTGCCATGGCCTGGGGGACTGCAGAAAAGTCACTGACCACTCACACTGTGAGCTCAGTTAGGGTCTTGCCCACTAAACAGTTACTAGTATTTGAAGTTGGCTTCAAGGGCTAGGGAGAGAGGTTAGTGCTTGCCTGGTATATATAGAGTCCAAGTACCATCCCTAGCACTAAAAAGAAAAAACGCCTAAATATCGAAAGTCACGTCGCTATCCACTCAAAAATGTGAAAAGCTGTCGCCCCTAAATCCAAAAGCACGCTCCAGAGAGTGCGGTGGCCTAAGTGAGTCTGTCCTGCAACGGACCAAATAGCCTTTGGCTTATGCCTCATTCAGGAAAATGCATACTGCTCTGATACAGAATACTCTAGAAACGCGAAATGAAATATTCTCAAATTGTATTGTTTAAGATACATTCTTGCTGTAGAAAAGTGCAGACAAGAATTATTCAGTTGTTTAAGAGGTATCTCTTATAGAAATTTAACATTCGACCCAAATCCATTCTGATAAAATACCATCATTCAATAGTCTAAAAACCATGGACTGTTAACCAATCAAAATAGCCAGGGGTCCCCCTACCAGCACCTCTGGCCAGGCCTGCCCTCTGTCCCTGTGCTTTGTAGGCCCGGAGCAACAGCAAACAGCCAAGCTGACTTCCCAAAGTTCAGTAATTTCCTTGCTTCCCAAAATCTGTCTTTCTCCTTAAGAATCAGTGCTCTAAAGAGCTGACAGTAACGAACATCAAAAAATATGACACACAACAAATACCTAATTAAGACAAGAACTGCTTGAGAACCGTTCCCATCCCAGAAACCCAGACATTCCCGCCTTGCCAAGTAATGCCCTGCAACAAGAAGAAAAACAGATAACCTGGCTGACTGCACTAGCAAGACCTAGGGCCCCGGTAAGTGAACTAAAACCACCTGTTCCGGTCCCAGCAAGAGGTCCAGCAGTTTACAAATCACGATATCCAATCGCAGCTTCTCAGTGACCAATCACACAAGTTGCATAAGTTGCTGACCAGGACATTTAGCCTTCTGGCACCTGCTGCCTCCCTACAGTCTTGGGAGATGCCTTACACCGCAGACAGACAGACATGCACACACGCACACACACGGAGATGCCTCACACTGCAGAGATACATACACAGATGCCTCACACCACAGACACACACAGGGAGATGCCTCACACCACAGATGCGCGCGCGCACACACACAAATAGCAGATCTGTCCGCTGCAGTCGTGTGTCAAGAAGAGTATGCAAAGTAAGTGTTATAAAATTTATTCGTGTAAGCATCCAGACACTTCTAGGTGGGCAAGATGATATGCAGATTCTGCTACAAGGTGCAACAGAAAATCGTGTTGGAGAGGATGAGACATCGGGTGCAGACGGGCAGTGGCACGAGTCCAAACAAAGGTGAGACGAGAGCACTTCATCTGGGAGAAACTTACAATAATAATTTAAAGCTTTGTGAGGCGACAGATGATCCAATTTAAACACTAAGAAATAGTACCATCGATGAAAAAGGAAATCAACTTCTATGTGTACCAAAAGAGTGTAGGGCAAACGAGAAAAATTTGCATCTGTCGAGGTACAAAGAAGAGTGTTCTGTAAGAGGGGCGTTAATTATTATTAATGGCAAACCCTGCAAATACAAAACAAAACCCAAATCACTGGTCACAGAACTCAAAATTTACATGTAATAAAGGCAAGGCAAGGCGATAGACTCGAGTTACGGCCTGTCGAATATTTACTCCACCGACGTTATGTACAGAAGCACTTGGCCAGCGTGTGCGCAGTGATTCCTGCGCACCCAGAGGGTTCTGTGAGAACGGCACTATATACAACTCTGTACACCCATCTGCAGGGCGCGCCTCCGTCCCCGGGGAGCGAGCCACGTAAAGCAGGATACCTGAGGTTTCACGTCTTCAGTTGCCTGATCAGAATCCCAAATATACATTTCAGGGTTGGTTTTTGTTTTTAAAGATATTTTCCTTGAATATGTGCACTATGGTTAAAATTTTTAAAACAATAAAAAAAATAAAACAAACACTTGAAGGAGCTGACCCTCCCCACCCCCGTGAGAGGCTTCGTGTGGCTCCAGTGTGTGAGGACGGGTGCGGTCCTGTCCCAGGCACGCCGCCCCCTCGCTGGCGCCTCTTCGGCAGTCGGCAAAAGCTCTCGTTTGACTTTTAAGAAGGAGGAGGATGAAGAAAAAAACAGGAAAAACAAGACCCCAAATGCCAAAGGAATTTCAGTGGGATGACATTCCTCCACCACTCAGAGAATATCTACGGAAAAACAAAAAAGGAAGCAAATAAATGTCATTTCTATAACCCTTGTACAAAATTTCAAATAATAACCAAAATCTTAGTAAAAACAAAAATCACTGGAGTAAACAGCAACGAAGTCCTATTTCGACGGGTGACTGAATCCAGTGACACAGGGACGCAGGCCCGTGGCCGCTGTGCGTGCGAGTGCGCGTGCAGGAAGCCCTTCCTGGCCACCAAATACTGGGTCCAGGCGATCTACTTACTGGACACACTGTAAACACCCGAAGCAGGAACTGTGTATTTGCACAAAGCTGTCTCAGTATTTTTTGCAATTATAAATACAAAACAACTTTACTGCCCAATAGTAGAGAAGCAGTTACATAAACTACAGCTGACAGGAATATATTAAATCATTATCTATAAGGATTATGGAAAATATACAAAAGGTAATAAGTGCACATAAAGGACACGTACGGTATTGCATGGTTTACATGCACAAGTTATCACGAGCACTATACTCTGCAACTATGTAGGAGAACTGAGCAGGTTTACAAAAGTTGACATACATCAGAAGGCAATGCATTAAAAAATGTTAATTATGAGAACAGTTGGGATAAAACAGTGGGACTGTGGTATAGTTCTTGTACTCCGAAAATTCTAGAGTACTATATCTTGCATGTCCCCCCAAGGTCAAGATTCCCACAGGCCCCGTAAAACCACTCCAAGTCACAGGGACCAGAGATGCCTGAGGATGCTGAAGGGGACTGCTCTTTAACAACCCACCTTGGAGCTCCTTCCCTGCCCCACCCGGTGGGGAGGGGTTGAAGACACTGAGCTACATCCCAGACATTTCTTATGGGAGACAACATCTGGCTAGATCACTAACTTATCCAGGCTGGGCTCAAACTTGAAACCCTCCTGCTTCAGCCTCCCAGAGTGCTGAGCTACAGGTGTGCACCACCCAGCCCGGCTCTTTCAAGGCATTGAAAATGCCCACAACGTCTCAGAGAACAAATGGTTCTGTAACTATTTAAAAACCTATGACTAAGTCACAGGATGAACTGATGTCACACAAAAATGATCCCAACAGTAACTCAAACCGATCCAGACAGAAAGGTTCCTGGGGAGCGCAGCTGGGAAGAGGCCTGAGCAATGGCGTTGGGCCCAAAACCAGTGCAGCCTGGGGAAACTCAGGAGACAACGGGCGCCACAGCCAGGCCTGCAGAGACGCGACAGACCCCAAGGACCCAGCCGCTCGCTCCTCACAAAGGGCACAAGAGTCTGCTGTGCACTGGAAATGTGACACTGAAGCAAGGATTCACGTCAAGTTTGAAATACATACTAGATTTCCAAGGGGTAGCTTAAAAAAAATGCCTTACTAGTATAATTACTTATGTTGGTTTCATGCTGGAGTGATTTTTAGGAGCACATTAAACATACATTAAGAATTAAACTTCTCTCGTTTCTTTGCTCTTTTTTAAAACATGGCTACTAGAACATGTTAAATTCTGTGTGGCTCCCGTTCCTTCCATTGGACAGAGCTGACCAATCGGTGTGCATGCAAAGAAAGGAAGAGGAGCAGGGAGATGGGGCCCTGGGACCAGGAACCAAGGGCAGACGGAAACGCATCACTCCCAACAATTCCAGGCAATTCCAGAGAGCAGTCACAGAAATGGTATGACCAAAGCAGCAATCAAGCCCAAAGAAGACACCGACAAGCACCCCTGCTTTCTGGGCTTTGTTCTGTTTGCTTACTGTGAGGCTCTTTTTCGTGAGAAATAAATGCAACTACAAAAAGGTATGAAAAACACCCACCCAGGCAGAGAAATCAAAAAGTTGGCACAGGATAAGCTTATCAGTAACTTTTAAAACTCTACTTTCTCCTATTTCTGTACTTTGTTATATGATTTTTGGTATCAAAATGGGGTAAGAGAGAGAGCAAGACTACTGACTCCTTCAACTGCCTCCAAATCGAAGCAGCCAAAAAAACAGTGCTTACTTCTACCCAAGCTTGAAAATCTGACGTCCTTACTAAGGCAGAATGGAGCGCAGGCATCACGACTGTGCTTGTCCCTAAGCCCAGCTGGAGGCAATCACCACTTGCAAATGACAAATGGCCAGTGACCCCACGTGCCCTGAGACTCCACTGTGTCCTGTCCAGCGGCCAGGAAGACTGGACACACCCCCAGGTACCACAGAGCACGGGCAGCCAAAGCCACTAGGCCCAGGCAGAGCACACTGGCGAGACTCCCCGCACAGGCTCCAGGCCACCGGGAGAAAGAACTCGCCCACACTGAGCTCATGGAAGTCACCACTGCCAGTGCCCCTGGCACTCTGAACACCAGGCCTAACGCCTAAAAGCCAGTGGGCAATTACATGCAGGTGGCTAGGGGCTCGATTTCTTTGGCTCACTGGGCTTTAATAAGTAGACTATGTAATTAAAAGCAGGTATTTTAAATCATCCTGTATTTCCGTGGCCAAGAGCTCTGAGCACTCCTTTCCAAAGCTCCCAGAGCCACACCATACATCCCCGTCAGTGGATACGGTTTGGGTCACGGCCACTCACTGGGGTCGCTGCCCCTTACCTCTGCAGCCGCTGCACAAGCTGGGCCACCATGGTGTCGGAGATGCCGGGGCAGGCCTCTTCCGCCAGGTAGATGGCGCCACGCAGCTCTTCTATGGACCCCAGGTTCCCCCCGCACGCCTGGCTCTTCTCCTTCAGCTGAAATACACGAAAGGCAGCATGACCCACATCCCCAGACCCAGACACGCATGCCACCCGATTTGACTTCAGGCTCCTGGGGCCCACAGCTGCCAGGTCACCGGGCTCCACAGCAAAGAACTCGAGACCAGCAAGCGACGACCGCACCAGACAGAGGAAGCCAGTTTGGGGTGCACCTCTGCTCCAAACTGGCCTCGCACGGAGGGTCCTGCTGACGCCATCTCTACTCTCGCTCCAGGTGTGCACACCACAGCAGCAGCATGATCACCTGAGCTCCTCTGCTCCCATGAGAAATCAGCATCCTCAGCACCTCCTCCCTCGGGGTGCACCCAACAGCGGAGCGTGGCTTGGGTCAGAGCCGGCCCTCCCAGCCTGCGGGTGGCAGCTGCACAGGGGACAGCCACCGAGGCCCCCGCCAGAGCCTCTCCTCTGTTCTGTCTCTGGATATCTCAGAGGACACTGACTGGCGTTGGCTCTGAGGGTGCCACGGTCACAGGCCGTCACTGACAGACCAGTGTCGCCGGGAATATTGTTTGTCGCAGCCTGCAATGCCAACGACCTTGAGACCCTTCCTACCCCCGTCACCTGCCTGCACCAGCGAGGCCCGAGAGTGATCTGCATCCTCCACCCAATGCCTGCACTGTCCTTGACCCATGCCTGTGTCTCAGGACCAGAAGGGTGCGGGGTGCGGACAGTTTCTGCCCAAGGACACACTGGGCAGTGAGTGCCAGCTCCAGGTCACCAATGGCCACTCCAGCCTCCCTACCATCCTCGTGTGTAAGGGCAAGGGCAAGTGAGCCCTGAGGACTACTCTTGGAAATCCTGCCCATTAAACACTTGGAACTTCAGGTCACCAGAGTATCATCAATAATAAAAACACACAGGAAAGGAGGGAGGCCTGGGTTCATGAGCTTCCCTCTAGGTAGCCCACATATTTCTGCATTAGATTAATCTGAGGAAGCTACAAATAATGACTTCAAGAGCTCCTTCTGAAAGCCAGTGAAAGCAATGCGCACTTCTAATTCCCGGCCCATCCTATTAGCACAGCCAATGACAGGTCACAGGACAGCAACGGGGCAGCTGGAAAGCCACGGGGCCTCAAGGGCTTAACGGCGTCTAGGGAAGGACATGCGTGACCAGGAGGCGGCCACTGCCAGAGCCGGAGAGCAGCACACCCTGCCCGGCCCGGCCCGCGGCTCCCACCCGAGGCCAGCGTGTCAGCACGGCTCACCCCACAGGACACCCCCATGTCCCAGGTGCCAGCCTCAGAGGGCTGAGGGGCTGGGAGAGGACCCGGGACTGAGGGCACATGAGAGCCCGGGTGTTGGCACAAGCAGCGCGCCCGTCCCCCCAGGGGCCCCGCTCGAGTCCCAGGACCCGGATGCTGCCTGCTGCTAAGCAGTCACCCAGAGAGGTGGGGGTCCCACTCAGATACGGGCGACTCAGCTGCTATCCTCAAGGCAGCCCGAGCCAGGGACGGACACGCAAGTGTGCACATGTACTCAGGCACGCGCGCACCATCCACAGGGCGGGAGCAGGTGGCCTCAGCAGGAGTGTGCAGGTCACAGGCAACGACTGTGGCATGGGGAAAACACAGGGACCCGAGGAATCCGGGCTCCCCTTCAAAGTAAAACTCTACTCTGAACACTGCCGTGAATCTGTGTGAAGCAGACACAAGGATGCAGTTTCACAGAGCTCCCCCAGGCTGCATGTCAGTCACCCTGGTAACACAGCTCAGGGCTGGGACGCCCTGGGCATCTCCCGGGAAGATGTGACAGAAGACAACTGCCAAGGGCGGGCAGGAGGCGGCTCTCGGAAGCAGTGCCTGAGGCCAGCAGCCCGCCTGTGTCCGCCAGCTGTCGTAATGTCCCCTACTTTACTGGCAATGTCCCACAGCCACAGGGCCCTGCTCCAACCCCTCCCGCCAGGAGTCTTACCTCTGCAAACAGAGGAGAAATAATTGTCGATAAACACTGAGAGAAAGGCCTCTTTGGGATGTCTTTCATCTGGAGGAAGAGAAGGAAGCTCGTCAAAACAGGTGACACCATCAGCCACTGGGGCTTCGGAACTGGTCTAGCAGAGCGACGCTGAGGACGCATCCTGCCCTCTGTCCCCGGGCTTCCACAGGCTACAATGTCTGATCTGCAGTCACACAGCTGGGACCCAGTGCCCCATGGGAAGGCAGGGAACAGGCAGTGAGCTCTGAGGGGACAGCCACGCTGGCCACACCGCCACTCTGTATGGAGGGGCTTTGCCGACCGAACCCTTCCGGGGTCACCTGTCAAAGTGGCCAGCGCACAAGCCACTACTTCCGCACTCTGCCTCAACACTGCACATCTTCAACTCACCCCAGAACCAGAAACCACTCACTGCGCTTTAAAAGTTCCAACGGGCTGCGGTGTGGCTCAGGAACAGAGCACTTGCCTGGTGTGTGTGTAACCCTGGACTCAATCCTCAACACCCCACCAGCCTAAAAATATACCTTTTTGGGTTTTGGGTTTTGGGTTTTGGGGGAGCGTTGTGGTAGCACTAGGGATTAAACTCAAGGCTCATCCCCAGCCTTTTCCTTCCTTCTCTTTTTATTGTTTTGAGACAAGTTCTCACTAAGTTGCTGTGAAGTCACCCAGGCTGAGCTCAAACTTAAGATCTTCCCAAGATCTGAGCTGCCCAGAGTGCTGGGATTACACGTGTGCACCATCATGCCCAGCTGCTTTCAGTAAATTTAAACAGGCATGAAACTAATTCATCAAAATTAAGTTTCATATAAAATACCAAAAGAGATACATTCATTTGTAAGGTCCTTGAACAAAGCGCTACATAAAATTATGGTATGACAGACACACAACCCTAGCACGCAAACAAACAAACGTGGTGGTCGCTCCCGCAAAGGCAGCCAGTCGCTGCACACGTGAAAGCTCCCCCCAAGCACCGACAATACATGGCCGAGGGTCACGATATCCTGGTGCGCCAGGGGATGGGGTCAGAATCATCAAGGTACAGCAGAGTCCAGGTCTGAACCTTCGGATAATCTCCCACCCTGGCCACCTGCAGATGACAGCCCGTCCACAAGCACCACAGCGAGTACCGCGCACCTGCCCCAGCGACCTCAGAGCACCAGTGACCGTACCTTACTCCTCTCCAACTCTGAGGGCTGAAGAGCTCCGTTCTCCAGATTCTTGGGGTCCTTCTCCCGGATTGTGAAGATCCAGTCCCCAGAGTCGTTGCCTCCCGACGCCTGGCCATCTGTTTCCCTGGACACAGACATCCCATCCCCGGTCGGCCACCGTCCACAGCTGCTTCCCACCCCTCTTGTCGAACTCATCCAACCCCTGGGGTGCCGGAGTCATGCAGCCCGCTTTATCTCATCTCGGAGTCTCCTCCCCAGCCCGCCGCCTCCGCCTCTCACACAGAGGCACAGCACTTCGTCCCCCTCGTTGGTCAGCTGCTCCTGGGCCTCAGTTTCTCTCCCAGATGCATCCTCTCAGCAGTAGCTCGCTTTGCTGCCTGTCCTGTCCTCCTCTCCTCTGGCCACACCTGTCTCGCCGCTGTCAGTCGTCCTTCCCCACTGTCCCCGGTACACCGGCCGTGTCCCCGCCTGCTCCCACCACACAGCCCCGTCCTCTGCACACCTTGGGGATGGGGGCCCTGCTCAGTCCGCCTCGGTCCCCAACGCTACCGAGGGACCCGCATCTCCTGCCCCCATCGAGCCACGCCTGCTCCTCCCCACTGCACTTCCTAGGCGGGACCTGGGAGCACAGCGAAGACAGCGGCCAGGCCCACGCACGTTCAGTCCCACAGAGGTCGGGGACACTCCACAGGCCACGTCAGATGCCACGAGACTCAAACGTGGCTGTAACTGACAGGAGCAGCACTGCGGACCTGGACCTTCTAAGCAAGAACAAAAAACTTCAACGCACCCACAAGACAAGAACCAAGAGTCCCGGGCCCGCTCACGCGCAGGACGTGGCCCGGACAGTGACTTACGTATCCGAGTCGTCGGAGCTGGAGTCGTCGTGGCTCTGCTCGGCCTTCCACCTCTTGTACCTGTCGATGAGCTCGGTCAGGTAGGACGTCTTCTTTGCATTGCGAATTATAAACTTGTGCTTCAGCAACTCCTTCGCCGTGGGTCTCTACAAAGGCCAAGGGAGATCACTCTTCCCGCAGTTCTACCCACCCAAGGGCAGGGTCTGCCTCAAATCTCGGGAACACCCAGTCCATCATCGAGGCCCCACCCAGCTGCAGAGCTTCGTGCTCCTGCCTGGGACTTGGCACACAGGCAAAGTGGGTGTGACACTTGGATTCCTTGCCAGGAAGCAGCCGATGAGAGCAAGAGGCTCCCGCGCTACCCTGTGGCACAGGAGCTGAGGCGACGCCTGTGAGAGCCGCTCCTCTCCATGTCCCTGCACGCAGATGCAGACAGGGAAGGACGTGCTGTCTCCATGAACTTTCTACCATACGCTCTGGCTGATACCACAAGAGACAGGAAAATAAGTGTGCTCATCTGGATTCATCGGACAACGGGCGAGGAGCCGGGAGATCCCTCTCCTCCTCTCCTCTCCTCTCCTCTCCTCGAGCTGGAAGAGCACTGGGGCCCCCAGCCACCAGCTCTCCCCGCTGGAAGACGGCAGCCTGCGCCCAGCCCCACCCTGTGGCTGAGCTCAGCGCTCCATCCTGACCCAACCTGGCACAGCCCCGGACAAGGGGCACACTCTGACCTCAGGACACGGCGCTCAGCAGAGGGCTCTGCCCTCCAGGGTGGCAACCCAGCCACTGCAGCGACCAGGTTTCTCAGGGAAACGCTGGGTGGCCCAACCTGAAACCGACAGCGGGCAGGGGGTTGGGGGAGACAGACCACGGATGACACAGAAATGCCAGTGAGCTACAGTGAGCTCCCACTCGCCCCAAATCACGAGCCTGGGTAACTAGAGCCAGCAAGTGTGTAAACTGGATTCCCCTCGGCGTGCATCCCTCCTCCCTGTCCAAGGTGCTCACACCCTGGGGCCAAGCTGGGATAGGAGGGTGCAACCCAGTGAGTAAGCCAGCCCCAGAAATGAGCTTTAACAGGAGGCATGTCCTTCTGGCGCTGGCAATGACACCGTCTTACACAGCACTGGCTGGGAGCAGAACTGCCACCGCCGCACCCCTCACTACCGCCCGGTGCCCAGCAGTGACCCAGCACACGAGGACCGCTCCATGTCCACTGAAACCCTCGCCAGAACTGGCCCCGCACAAGGAACACGAAGCTCTCAAAGCCATCACCCTTCTTTGGCTCAGAGTAATGGGCAGGGACAGGGGAAAGGTCAGTTAACTCTACCAAAACCCAGGCACAAAACAAGGACACGGACGGGGCTACATCCAACACCAAAATACACAGCCTTCGGAGAAAGCCCTAAGGTCGAGAGAAAAATGAAGTAAAGCTATGTGGTCACCACAGGCTCTGCCGCTGCGAATAAGCCATCAAGAGGGAAAGGAAGAAGCAGGAAGGGAAGAGAGGTGGGGCACTCGTTTATATCTTATTCATCCCTTGTTCCTGAGCGCGCACCTGCCAACTGGACCGTCACTGCTCAGGCTGGTCTTCACCATTACTACGAACGGTTCAGAGTTCCCAGCCTGACTTTCCTCCATAAACATTACAAATTTATGATTCCCCCATAATAGCAAGGAAAACATTCTTCAGGCTCAGGATGAGATGCTAGGAAAATCTAAAAGAAAATAAGAAGACCTTTCATCCTTAAAAGATTAAATGAAAACAAAAGCATTTTTGTAATTTGAAGGAATCAAACTAAACTCATTTAGAGAAAACGAATGAGATCCTGAAGGCAGCTGGTAAGAGACTACAGGGATCCCCACGGGTGGCCGGAGGCCCAGCCCCACCAGCAGGGGTCAAACTCACAAAGCTCGGCTCCTTGTTCAGACAGGCCTCCACGAACTCCTTGAGGGGCTTGCTGTAGTTTCCTTCCAGCGTCGGGGGGTTGTTCTTTGGAATGAGGAACAGAACCTTCATGGGATGCAGCTCGGAATGGGGCGGCTCCCCTCTGGCCAGTTCTATAGCTGTGATGCCCAGGGACCAGATATCTGCCTGTAACGACAAAGGCATCGTCAGATTCAACGACACGCTTAGGCAAAGCAAGGACAGCATAGTTCTCGGTGCTGCTTCTGGGGTTCTGGAAAAGACAATTAGGTTTGATGACCATAAGAAACAAAGGCTTTGCTATAATTGCAAAGTAGGCAGCAACAGGAAAAATGTGCATTACTGAACATCTCGCACCTCTCCCTGATGAGGGCCATGTGACCGCTCCTGCCCCAGGTTTCAGGGATTATGTGAGTCCCTGGAGATGGTGGCAGGGCTAACACAGTTGAGCAGGAACAGCTGTGGTGAGAGGATATAACTCTGGGGGGAAGGGCAGCTGTACAAGGGACCCAGAGCCTGAAAACCACTTACTATGGCACCGTAACATACAGATGCTACCACCCCCATCACACTTATGTAGTAATTGCTACCGTTGCACCATACAGGTTTAGTCTATTTGTTGCCATCGTAACAGCCCCCCGACAACTATGCCACATAAGGACTGTTGGCTACACACTGACACCTAAAGTTACAAAGGCTTGTTCAGCGTGACAGGAGTGCAAAAGCAATATGCATTCATGAGAAGTCAGGCTCTGACTTTCCCAGAGAGCTACATGCAATACTATTGTTCCTCCTAATGCTGGGCTGTGGCAGCCAGAACAGTCCTGGTGAGCCCCACCACCACAAGGGGAAGATAACTGGACACTGCTACACTTGAGTGTGCCACAGGATAAGGGTTTTCAATTCAGTATATTTTCAGTTTATTGAGCAGCATTTGTAATTCCTTAGTATCAATGCAATAACTAAATTTTCTCAACTGCTCAAAAAAAAAAAATCCATTTTCTATACTGATTCATCTGAAACAGGACCCAAACAAGGTTCACACATCCCAGTTGATGTTCAATGGCCACAGCTCTATTAATCCAGCACAGTCCCCACTCAATCCACCCAGTACCATCCATCAACCTGAAGAGGTCCCCAGCTCTGCCTGGTGGTTTCTTTCTGATGCCCAATTCACTGAGCTTCCCCAGAGGCCTGTTCTCCTGACAAAGGCCCACCGGATATGGAGTTGGTGAGATTCACAGTCGGCAGGAGCAAGTAGCCCTTCCCGGGGCACCTGCTGCCAGCTGCCCTGACACACACCATGGCTACAACTGAGCCAGTGGTGAAATCACTGACCATGTAATTTACAAATAATGCTGGGCAGTCTTAAAAAGGACTAAATCCAACATCTTATGGACACTTCATCAATCCCCAGACAACAGGACAAACACTGAAAATCAAAGAACAAAACATGATGGCAAAGACAACCCAGGGAACTGGGGCAGAGAACAAACCTCAGCCCAGGGACATTTTCTGCTGTTGGCGTCACTGTGGAACCAACCCATCATGACTTCTACTAGAACCTAGTACTTTTCTCTCACACTCGCCACACAGCAACAAAGGGGGAAGGCTGCAGGCTTGCTCAGGGGAGCACAGGACTTGGGCCCTTTTCCAGCCCTAACAATGTGGAAAGCACTCGCTGTCATGTTCTGCCACCCCAATGTCCCAACCCAGTGCTCCATGGGTCTGGGACCTGCCACACCTTCCATTCCCCAAGTTGAGAACAGCTGTCAGCAAGACTTGCTTCTCCATTCCTTATACTAATTCTTACCCTGAAGGGCTCAGTCTAGAAGAACAAGTATTAGGCACTGAGTCCAATTTTCCTTCTCCTCACAACTTGGAGCGCTTCATTTATCTTGCATGCGTACCCCATTAAAGCTCAACAGAAACAGGATTTATTCCAGGATCCCTCTGTCCTGGAAGCACCTGGAGCCTGGTGGTGGCGGGATGTGCAGAAGTGGACGCACAGGAGGACAGATGCACCACAGGGACAGAAGTGGCTGCAGTTCCTTACACACAGGTGAGCTCGGAGTCTGCGCCAGCCCCCCTGTATCATGCTGCAGCAGGTGCTGCTGGCAAATCTCCAAGCCAGAGATGCAGGCCACCTGTCCACGCAGTCTCTGATGACGCTTCCAGCCCTCCAAGGGTGCCACAACCAGTCAACACACCCGTGAACAAGAGGCACACTGGAGGCGGCCTCCGCCTTGGCCAGTCAGGGCGGAGCACATGCTGGCAGCCCAGAGCCGAGGACTTGCTTCAGGTGTGGGGCAGGCAGCAAGCACAAGGGAGCAAGCTTGCGAGGAACAACATGGCACTGGTAAGTCTTAAATAAGACGAATTTATCTATTACTGCTTCTAGGCAATACAGCATCCAGTGTGAAATGTGTGCCTGAGTATTAAAGTTCCAAAGGGCAGGGGCAGTCTCCCTCCAGAGCAAGGAAAACGGAGGTATGAGGGGATCTTTTTGTGGGGGTCACTTGGGGAAACACATGCAACTGGATAAGATGCTGCCAACAGAGAAACAGACTGGTTCCAACACATGTCCGAGTTAGGGTTAGTCACAAGTGACAGAGGCTGATGGCCTGAAATGTGGGTGTTCATTAGGAGATCTCTTCCCACGCAAACACTTCTAGGAAGCATGAGCCAGAGACACCATGGGAATCGCTGTTCCTCACTGGACCACATCCTCAACAGGAACAGGAAACGGGAATTATGTACAGCAGCACCCCACATCCCTACAACAGCAAGTGGAATAAAGCACATTGGCTACAAGTCTGGAGAGAGACACAGTCTAAGTGAGTTTCTAAAATTATGCATAGGAAACAATTCTAGAAAGAACCCTGATCAACTCTATAATCAAAAGAAAACCAAGCACAACTCTAAGTTACTCATAACTGAACCAAACAAAATTGGAATTAAGATTGCTACTGTGTGCTTAGATGCAATACTTAGGAACGCATTTATATGTGGGACCTAGATGCATAAAAGACATTTATGAGATCTTTATAGTAATAAAAGCTTTACCTGAAATGGCCCCACACTAAGCCTGCTGAAATAAAGCCCAGAGCGACTTCCCCTAGCTCACACCTCATCCCCTGAAGGGCTCCTTCCTCCCAGCCAGGGCAGCTCTGCAGGAGACGGGCCAACAGCAGGGGCCACAGCCCCTACCGGCCACGTCCTCACTCGGCCTCTGCACCCTACTTTTCCCATCCACACATCAGCAGGTGCAGGTGCACGTGCAAGTGATTGTTCCAGAGATGGCTGGGGCCTGGAAGTAACGCGGCAATCTACAGATGGTTTTCCTTTCTTTCCATTTCTTTTTCCAGTCTTTTCCAGATCATCACTGAAGATCGCGTATGTACTGCTTCTTAGGCCAAATGCAGGGAAAGCCACTGGCAAGAGAACGCCGACCTGCCCTCCGGCGTCTCCAATTCAGGACAGGCCAGCGTCTCTGGCACTGCCCGCCCCACAGTACCACATCTGCAACCCCCTGGAAATGCCTACTCTTCCCCGAGTGTCACCGTCGAGTACATCCTTCCGTCATCTCAGAGGGGCATCTGTGACGCTGCCTGACCCCTCTGGCCTTGCTGCCCTGGGCCTCCGCTGAGTGCCTTACGCAGATGACTGGGCACAACCACCACCCGGAAGTGACCAAACAACTGCAGAGAGAGGGTCACGAACTGGACGGCAGTTTCACCCGAATCTATTCCACTTGCTAACATATTATCCAAATGATCCTAAAGAGGAACACAGATGAAAAGCTTTTCAGCCCAAGGCCCATGGCTCAGTGTTGAAACCAAAGGCCTGTAATGTGGGAAGCCGAGTTACCTTGCTCGGCTCTGAACTTCACACTGGTGCGCTTGGACTGAGAACGGACCCTAACACGAGAAGCTGTGCATGTGCAACACCCTCGGGAGCAACTGGGCAGCAGGGCACACATGCTGCTCAGGTTACCACCGTAAGCGAATTTGTCCAGCTTCAGGAAAAGAAGATGCTAGGAGGCAGGCGCATCCTTCCTTCTCCTCACTCTCCTGCCTTTGCAGGAAAGCTGCCGGGTGTGTGTTCTCATACCTGCAGGAAGGAAGCCTGCGAGCCTGGTGGGGAAGGTCCCCCTGCACCTGCAGTGCAGACACCAGAGGGCCAATGCCTCTGAGTACAGGCCAGGGTGCATACAAGGGGCACCTGAGAATCAGGAGGCCACAGCAGCCACACTGGCTGCCCAGAGGCACCCCAATCCCCAGGAGGACAGCCACAAAGCAAGCTTGGACAGGCCCTGCTCCGGGCAAGAGCTGCTGATCCAGAGCAGACGTGCGAGACATCTTCCTGAGGCCTCACCCTTCGAATCCACTCCTGTAAACCTCACAAGACACCAACATCACTCTAATCTGCACCAACCTGCCTCCCCGCAGACAGGAAACCTCAAAGTTCACTCCCACAAGACTTCCCTTAACGATCACTGGGCATGATCCAAGCAAACAATCACTTTTGGACAAATCAGAGTAAAAGGTTAAAGCAAGAAAGCAAGAAAGAACGAACATATTTTCTTATACTACTTCCTCTCCAAACAAGTGTGCATTCCCGCAGGCGTGAGACAGTGCCTCGATGTCTCTGACACCAGCCATCAGCTGCTAAGAGCCTTTCCATCTGGTAAGAACTCCGGGAGGGAGGCCTGCAGATCTTTCGAACGTTCAGAGCCACCTTCAGCAAATGAGCAGAGGCCTCAAACCAGGATGAGAGTCGAGAAGGGCCAGAAGAGCTCTTAACAGAAAAGTTCCGAAGTAAGAATGATGGGCAGATCTGAAAAAGTATAAACCGAGTCCCATTTCATAGGACGACCAGCTAATTTACTGCCAAGAATGAGAAGAGAATATTCTCATGTTGTGATCAGATGAGTCTAGAAACTTGGATTCCAGCCTGCTGTGCTGAAATCTACACACACGAACTCCGATAAATGGAGAAAAAGGACTAAATACATTCCTCCAATTCCATGACCCTCAGTCCCGCAGAAAGCAGACGCAGCTCAGCGACATAGGGCAAAGGCACCCTTGCAACACCCCTAGCAGTACAGCTGGCTCATCTGGGGTAGGGGCTGCCCCATGCCTCCCAGAAGTCACGGCTGCCACCACTACTTAGCAGCAAGACAGCAGGGCCACTCCCAAGCCAGAACCAGGGACCCCCCACCACCTCCACCACACAACATGCTATGAAGGCCAACAGCGCTGGGTCCCAAGGGAAAACTTCCTAAGGCTCCCTGGACCGTTTCAAGAGGTGGGAATTCTACTACATATTGAAAAGGGTTCCATTTAAAAAGGTGACACTCCCGTAAATAACTGTGAGTTAAGTATTTGTTTGCTTACAAATGTGTGGTTCAGAAGAACTAATTTTCTCTGTATAGTTCACTGAGAAGAACAGACCAGGAAACGGAAGTTAAATCAGAAAACAAAAGACAACGAGCTCCGAGGACTCTCATTCTATACCACCAGGTTTAATGAACTCGAAGGACAACAGGAAGAAAGATGACATTGAGCCTCACGCTGGTGGTGAGGCTCCAGAGGAAGGGCCCTGACTGAGACCCTCAAGACACACGGTACAAAGAATCCGGAGCCATCACCAACAGAGCTCTCCCGGACCCTGCTGGGCCTCTCCGCTGCTCCTGGTCCGTGTGTCCTCTGACTACTGGACAGTGGGGGCCCGGCCCTGCCCCTCATCCACTCTGCTCAGGCTTCGCCCTCCTGTGCACAGCCAGTGTCCGCCTCCTCGGCCTCTCAGCTTGCCGCTTGCATGCCTGAGCTCACAGCGGGTCCTCCTGTCCCCGCGCACCCCTGCTTCTGCCTCCACCACACCAAACACACACGGAGCTAAAGCCAGTCGCCGCGGCCACATCAACAGAGGTGTTCAGGGACACAGGAGAAAACAGGTCGGAGAGTTACCTCCACCACCCACCGGGAGGTACCGCCAGGGGAGCCAGAGGCTGCAGGACAGAAGTGTGTGCGCTGGCTCTTACCTTCGAGTCGTAGGCCGACTGTTTGATGACCTCGGGTGCCATCCAGAATGGGGTGCCTACGAAGGTGTTCCTCTTTATCTGGGTGTCCGTGAGCTGGCCGGCCACTCCAAAGTCGGCCAGCTTCACCTCTCCGTGTTCAGACAGCAGAACATTGGCCGCTGTGAAAGAAGCCCCAGTGCTCACGTTAGTCACGTTAGTCACCACACTGAGCACGCGGAGCACAGCGAGGGAGTGTGGGTGTCCTCTCCAGCCACCTCGCTGCGTGGTGGGAACAGGCCAGGGCTTTGTTACTGGGTCCCCCAGCCCAGCCCAGCCCCAGAGGGCTGAAGGTGCAGGACAGCTCCCTTGGGCTAAAGTTGAGCCCCACCGCCTCAAATATTTTAAAGGAAAGAAAACAGTCTTCTTACCTTTAATATCTCTATGGATCTTCTTCTCTGAATGCAGATAATCAAGTCCCTTCAGGATTTCTCTCAATATAGTAGCAATCTGAGTTTCATCTAAAGGGCCAGGCTCTAACTAACAAAAACAACAACCACAAAAGAGTGTTACAATTATGTAATTACCTTACATATAGAAGACAAGACGATGTCCTCATTAAATGCACAAGAAGAATTAAAATTTGAAACATTTTGGGCAGGGGATTTAGCTCAGTGGTTCCGCTGCCTCCCTCCCAAGCACAATGTCCCAAGTTCGATCCCCGGCACCAAAAAAATAAAATAAAATATTAAATCAAGTAAAAATAAAACATTTTCACTTAAAACAGGCATTTTTGCCTACATAATTAAAATCTAGAATAAGAAGCCTGCAAAAAAACAGAACCAGAGAAAATGACTTTGGAGAAGAAGCAAGATCAGCTCAGTGGTGCCCCTAGGGACACCCTGCGCACTACACTTGCGGCCTACAAGCTGGCTTGTGAGCGTCACCATCTGGCCCACGGGGCGCAGGCAGGTCCCACAGTCCAGGAAGTGGTCCAGAAGCTCACAGTGCGCAGAGGATCTGCCTCATCTACTTGGCTATGTGACCGCAGGCTCAATCCTTTAACTCAAAATGCAAGCTCTCAGAAAGAGAGGCCTTGGAGGCCCTCCATCCCCGAGGTTACTGCTGTACCAGAGCTTTCTGAAGCTCTACTTTAAAGCTTCTCAACTTGAAGGGACACAGCTGAAAGACTTCAATTCCTAACACTTTGAGATTTGTTATATAGTACATATGGTAATAATAAAAATTATTCCTAATGAAATAACTGCCTCTGGGAATTTTTATTGAGAAACTCAGAGTTAGTTGTTACTACTGACTCCTTAACATCCACTCTTCTATAAAGATGTAAAGAAAAAATGTTGGCTGTGCATCTCCCCATTCAGAGGGAGGAATCAGAGCGCTAAGAGCTGTTCTAACAGATAGTATGCCCACCACCACTTGCAGAGAGGAGACTCCATCATAACTCACAATGACACAATCAGCACAACCAACTAATGCTCCATAAAGGCCTCACAGCAGAATGGAAGTCTAAGAAGCTGGACTCATTTCTACTCTGTCTGTTCTCCCCAGACTGTTTTCCAACTTAACAGTGAATGCCACCATAATCCACGCTCATACACCTGCGCCAACTGAAGACACAACCCCACAATGGCCACTGAGTTTTCAAGATAGATAAATGTGCTTTACACCAAACACAATGAAAACTAATACGCTCCTCGTCCATCTGCTTGACCAGGACAGCCCGAGGGTATGAGGGCCCAGGGAAGGTACCTCTGAAACTCCCCTGCTCACCTGCACTGCAGCGACTCAGGCCTGGCACTGCTTTCTGGTTATCTCATAGACCCACCCTGGCCATGCTACAATCCCCAAGGCCTGCCTGCCTCTTCCTCTGAGGCCTGATCTATGTGGCAAAAGACTACAACTAGGTCAATCTTCCCCTGCCACCTTGTCACCAGAAGAGAGGATGCCAGGAGCTTTGGTTAGGCTCCATATCATGTGCCCCGAGAAAGCAACACTTGTGTGCAGTAGCCTTCACGGAATCACCACAAATACTACCCAAGATGCTGTCCTTGGACCAAGACTTCGTTCCACAGAACCTAATTCTTCCCAAAGTTATTTGACCAAGAGTCTCATTTTTAACACACAGAAACCACTGTTCAAAAGACCAGAGCATGGAATATTCTGTGTCCTAATGAGTCTGCTTTTTCCATGTTTACTTTTTCAGGGTTCACAGAATGCACAAATATTCACTTCACAAGAAAGACACACTTATCTCACCACCTAAGGGAAGAGATGCTTATTCCTGTTCTCACTGTCACAACAAAGACAAAAGCCAGTGATGACAGCAAGATGGACAGCAGCATCTGGCCAGCCTGGGCTTCCCCAGCATAAAGAAGTCCCCAGACAGACACAGCAGAATAGCACCCAGGGAGAGCAGGAAGAGGAGCTGAGGAAAGCTCTAGATGATTAAGAGCAGGCTCCATGCCTGGCTATGCCTTCTTAACTACGGTGCAAACCCTTTCCTTCCATCACTGGTTTATATGAACGTCAGGGACTCCCCAAGGAATTCATTTGGGATAAAATCCTTCAAGGTGTCCAAGATGCCCATTTTGGGTGTAAACTTGAATAGGCTAAGGGAAGCCCAGAGAGTTGGAAAAACACTATTTCTGGGTGCGTCTGTGAGGAATTCCCAGAAGATCTGGCATCTGAATCAGAGGACTAACGAAGATTCACTCTCAGCCACGGCAGATGGGCTGCATCCAAACTGCTGAGTGCCCAAATAGAACACAAGGCAGAGAAAGGCAAATTCACGCTGTTCTTCTGAAGCTGGAACACCCTTCTGCCCCTGGACATCAGAATTCCACGCTCTCTGGCCTTTGGACTTGGACTGAGCCACACTAAAGACCTCCCTGGTTCTCCAGCTTGCAGAGCACCTATGATGGGCCTGCTCAGCCTCCAGCCACATGAGCAATTCCGTTAATAAATCCCCTCATCCACCCACCTCCCACTGTTCTATCTCTCGAAGAGCCCTACTGTAACTGTCCAATTCACTATAAAGGTATTCCAGAACATGCCAGGCCAGGGTGAGCTTAGTTCAGAGTCATAGCCTTCTCCATCGTTACCACTGCTAGGCAGGAGAAACATGGCAAACTCTATCTTTAAAATGGTGAACATTTCAAAAATTTACAACAAAGACTGCCAGGAAAAAATGTAGACATCTCATCCCTGGATGACCTGTAATCCCTTCCCCGCACCTCTCTCCGCTTCTTCCTGGGCCATAAGACCACCAGCCACGCACACCACCACCCAACTAGAGACTACAGCCCTAGGCCCTGCAGCAGTGACACGAGGAGTACGAGCACGTGTGACACAGGCCCCTCCTGGTCTTGGCCCTGAATGCTGGCAGCTGGAGAGGACAAAGGTTGAAGACTGAGCCATGGCCCATCATGGGGGAGATAAATTAACTTCTGTCTTGTTTGGGAACTGTGACGAGAACAGCATGACCTACACGTTACTTGAATGTACCATCTCGTGGTATGTGGTGTGTATTTATTTTTAAGCCTGTCAAAGATCTCTGCTGATCAAGTTTTGGGTTTATGTAGCAAAGGTCCTTCTTAATTACATTCAAGTCTGGCCCTTAGATTCTCTGGCAACACTAACTGACCTATTCATCACATGAGACTCTTTTGTCACAGGCCCTCACTCAACTGTCCTGATGCCCTCCACCTGCTTTCTCTTCCTGACCCTTCTAACACACAAGGACATACTTGGCCGTGCAGCTCCACAACAGAAGGATGCAAGGACTCCCCAGGGTTCAGGAAGACAGGACACACAGTAGACACACGGTAAGTACTTTCTGATCAAAACGGTTTCACTCACCGGGCTACCAACTCTTATCGCAATGAAAGTCAGAATGTCTTGAATTGCACACTGTGTATTATTCTCTCCCAGGCCTGGCATCCTGCAGGCAGCTGCAACCTGACAGCCTAATGACACAAGTGGCCTCCAATCTGTATCCCGAAGAACTCAAGGTTTCCTCACAGTGGCCTTGGGGAGCCTACCAACATTCCATTTATTACTTCATTTCCTTTCACTTAAAACACCCCCAACAGACTGAGCACACCCAGGTGTGTGCATTCAAAATATATGCCTTTCTTATATTAATGATTCTTAGTAAGTGAGCTATACTGTCTCTTTATCGTTCATGGTAGACCCTAAATTTGTATTGTTTTCTAAAAGTCAAAAAGCATGTAGCACCAGGAAAAGGAGAGAGGGCTCATGGGGCTCACGGCTTCTATGGGCCCTGGTTTACCTTCAGCCAGCTAAGGAGATGCTCGCGGCCTGGCCTGGGCCTGGGCAGTCCACCCACAGGATGGCACCTCTATAATTCACTCCAGTATTGGATCTGGTTAACACCAAACCAATGGAATACAGGCTTTCCACGGCAACCTGTAGTCTGTCTCCTATGAGGGCCCAAGGTCTACTTGTACACCACAAAGCAGAAGAAAGACATCAGGCTTTATACCCTGGTTTTGAGGCACAGCCATCTTCAACCTGGGGTAGTCACTTCTGCTCGATAGGGGGCTCTGTGAGTCTGTAAAATGGGGGGGCACATTTTCAGTCTGAGGACACGTGCTGCTAGCACTCAGCAGGGTGCCGTGGTACAGCTACAAGACAGGACATGAGCCATGACAATTCCCTGCCTATCTCCAAAGTACCCTGGGTTTCCCCTGAGGAAACATCCTGGCAATTCTCTGGCCCACACTGAACCTGGAGCCTACCTGCACTGAACCTCAATTCCAGAACTGAAGGAAGCCTCCCAAATCCACTATGCTCAAGGGTAGAAGAGGGTGACCATCTATCTTTGCGACCTGGCTGAGATTCATGGAAGAAAGCACACCGATGTCTCAAAGTCCACGTGCCATTGTATCACGGCCACAACAGAGAGCGAGAGGGTGGTGTGCGGGACGCAACATGCACTCAAATCCATACAACCACATGTAACGTGTGCTGGAGGCCACAGGCAGGATGGCTCCACAGAGACAGCTCAGATATCTGGGAATTTCCCCTGCTGAGGGATCCTCACGCTCAGGACTGGCAGAGCAAGCTCTCTAAGCAAGATGTGCAGTTATCTTTCCCCTGCAGGCCTCAACATGAGGCTCCCGCAAAGTCTCATATTAACCAGAACCACATGCCTGTCAGCAGAGAGAAGTAAAACTAGTTAGAATTTTTCAAAGATATGGCCGTAAGTCCATTTACTGAGCTACATTGCATCACACTTTTATGTATGACGATATTCTGGTCTTTAACATACAGGAGACCCTTTCAAAATAACCCTAATAGTTTCCAACATTCAAAAAACAACTACTGTATCCCATTATTCAAGTGTCCTACACTTTGAGGACTTGGATAAGATACACACACACACACACACACACACACACACACACACACACACACACACACACAGAC